GTTAAGATGTGGTTTTGAGTTTTTGACATTTTAGTGTATTGAGATTCAGTCTTCTATAGTTGATCCTTGTATTGTATTATGATTCAGGACAGGACTCCAGGCGAGCCCTTCGTGGCCAAGTCAGCAAAGGAAGCCGAGATGGAAAAGATGTTGAGATCTATGGAGGTAATTAGTTCGTTGTTTTAGTGCTTGTTGGTCAACACTTCCTCAATTTCTAAGCCTCACCCACGCTCTTCACCTAAACCAGGGAATGCCAGGAGCACCCGGTATGAAAATGTATTCAAGAGATGATCTAATGAATATGAAGAATTTCGGAGGCGAAGATGACGATGAAGACGAGGAAGAAGATGATAAATTCCCTTCAAATTTGGTACTTGAAACATCTTTTATATGGCCAGAAGTTTCAGGAATTAATTATAAATGTTTTGCATAAACTTATTGGGAAACCTTTCTGCAGGGCAAAGTTTTGAGGGAGAAAGAGAGCAAGAAGAGTGATTGGAAAAACAGGATCACGAAGGGCGTTTCGAAGACAGGGGAAGCAATAAAAAAGCACGCTTACAGAGTCTCTAACAAAGTAAGGCAATGGTGGAGAGCGAAGTCCAGAGGCTTCAAAAGTTCAAAGCCCGCCGCCAAACAAGAACTGTAAAGTCTCTCAGTAACATTAAAGTTTAAATTCGTTGTATTTGCATCGCCCCATTAGGAAGTTAGCTAGTGAAACTGATAGCAAATACAGAAGAGTTCTTGTTCGAATCAATCAATGTTCTGAAATTTTGTAGTACTCTTCAGGAAGACTAAAGCCTTGGATTTGGAAATGTTGTTTTTTTTTTTACAACTTACATTATAAATTGCAAAAACTGTCAGGAATTGGGGGTACATTCTCCAATTGCTTGTGGCAGAAGAGGAACAATAAATTGTATTTAAAGCATCCAGATGGATAAATGAATACAAGCATATCAATAAGGTATAATTGTCAAACCTAATTAATTCCTTAAAGAAGATGTAGCAACACACGAGTACGTAGATTGTGATCGAAAACAAGCCAGTGTTGTTGCACTATTGTTGAATCAACGCATCTTGTAATGTTGAGTCTTCGAGATCGTGCATCGACGTCCATTGAATGAATATTTCAGTACAATATCAATATCGCGAGAATTCTTCTTGTTTGGAGCAACATTCAAGCTACCAGTGATAGCTTCTCCCTCACAAATGGTGAGAACATCTTCCAAGTATAGAACTGTTTGCTTCCAATGTGTAGCTCTTGATCTCGGCCCTGTAACATAATATTGCAGAAGATTCTATCAACTCTAAAACTAAAATTGGCAGGATAAGTTACAAAATAGTAGTCATGAATTACAATAGCCTAAAAATACTTGTTTTCATCCCAGTAGAAATTTACCAGTAGAGAATCCAGTCAACTTATGGCACTTGGTAAAAGATACATCAAAGTAGGCAACAAGAGCATGAATGTAATCGTCACGTTCTGCTATGAGCTTGAATGGGGCAGTAAAGGAAGCATCGCCTGGCGCCATTTTGGATATATCCATCGTCTGAGTGAGACCAACCCAAACATATCATCCATAATGAAAACAGGTATAAGAGAAGGATCACTAAAACCCAAGTGTAAAATACTTCTCTTTTTAGAGCATGGAAAATAGAATCCAAAAAAATGTCATCTATAATCGAAGTTCGTGAGACTAGAACACCAAACATTCAAAACTAGGACGAGATTACAGTCGTCGAAGATTTTCAAGGCGATAAAGATAGAAATAGCATTGGAGGAGATTCAAAAAATTAGATAACTGATGAAAGCTTTTGAAAGTCAAAACTTTGAGAAGTGATAACAAGCAAGAAATGCTCATGTTCAACATAAATATTGAACTTCATTATTTGACCAAGAAACTATGGCAAGCATGACGTATTCAAGTGTCAATTAACTCAGTTTTCAGTGAAAGTGTTTCGTTATCACCTTAAGTAGCTGACAGTTTGTAACAATTTGATTCTGGTCAACAGTGTCCACCAAAGGCTCCACCAAGGCTTGCCTTTTGATGCAGCTCATGTCAAACCCATATACACTATTCCAAACTATTTTAGCATGAAGATGACAAGGAAACAATGTCAGAAAAGATTGCAGCATATATAGCTGAACGATTCAAATAACATTTCTAGCTGAACTCACACTCAATCTTGTCTTCTTTGTAGTCTGCATCCTCAATGGCTGTTAGATACAGAGAAGCTTTGTCTGGTAGTACAAGACCATCATTAACCTGCATGAGGAAACAAAATAGCATATGTTAATATAAGGGACCAGCTGAGATTCCCACATTTGGCTTTCCCCATTAAGTTATTGAGCCTTGGATTAGAGAATGAATGAGTGACATTAAATCATCGCAAGAATACAGAAGCAAATACACAGAACACTCTTCAAACAGATTACTTATGCTAAAATCTCAGCAAATACACAGAACACTTACAAGCCACTTATCACGAGCATATAGGACTGTATTTAACATATTCTCGAACAACAAAAAGTATCCCATCCATTCTGAAATAATTATGTCTACTCTAGCAACAGGAAGCTCAATTTCTTCAATCTTTCCTTTCAGAACGGTTATAACTGCCAAAAAAAAAAAAAAAAAAAAAAAAAAAGGTTTTGTGANAAAAAAAAAAAAAAAAAAAAAAAAAAACAGGGTTTTGTGATGAGAAACTGCTATACAAGAAAAGAAAATAACTGAGAGAATACAATTTTATGAAATTACAACAATTGGGTACAAGAGGAACAAGAGATATAAGAAAGATACCATTAGAAAATCCATTGGCTTCGACTATCTCTTTTGCCATATCAGCCATATGGGAGCACTCGACCTGTAAACGAACACTTCCTTAGAAGCAAAAACTAAGAGAATAAACCGAAGAAAGGGGAAAATAGAAGGCACATTCCCACATCACAAGAACCACCAAACTTACAGCATAAACATGTGCTGCTCCAGCTTTGGCACAAAATAGGGACAAAATGCCAGTCCCTGCTCCCACGTCAAGGACAACTTTATCTTTGAATAAAAACTTATTTTGATAAATTACATTTTGATACGTCTTAGTTCTAACTGAATCCTTCAGCATTTCCTGCAACAAGAAAAACAGCCATGCTAAATTTCTGTAAGGTACAATATGAAAAATAACTCTTTCGGCTTGCATCCATGTCGGAAACTTACTTCGTGAATGCCTGCACAAGTAAAACGAACAAATTACAAAAAAAGTAATTAAGCTTTCACTTTCAGGATCTTACTTGAAGATGAATAACAAATTGTGAACCAGAAGTCACGGAAATTCCCAAAAACAATAAATGGATGAACTAAAACACAGCATAATAATAAACACATTCACGCAGACTTTTCCCGTACTAAACAGCAAGGAGCGTTCAACATATGTCCAAGGACAATATATTTTTTTTTAACCAAGGATAGTAACAAAGAACTTTGAGATGTTAAACCTAAATCGCAATTCAAGTAAATCAATTACTAAAAGGAAGTGCAGGTTTAAAGGCTTGTCCCTAGACTATATTCCAAAATACAGTAATGATAGAATCTAGAACCGACGGTGAATCAAACTAAATGATATATTCGAAATAAGGAAGAAGAAAACATCCACAAATCAGCAAACCGAGAGGAAAAACCATTACCGAAGTGAGAGTAGGAATCGAAGTAATAATCAGCGCTGGTTTTATCATCTTTGTCATCCAAGGACTGGGCAGGCTCACACGCGGAGTCTTCAATGACTCTGTTGGAGTCGTCGGCTTCACACATGGACTCGTCGATGTTGGAGCTCTCAGTGGTTTCTTCAATCAGAGATTCGTCGTCGTCTTCGAAGCGAATCTTGGAGCCCTGGGGCTGAGGCAGGCCATTGAGGGTGGATGAGCTGTGATCACCATTTTTCCGGCGACCCATGATGGATTGGTTGCAGAGTAAACGAATAGATTAGGGCTTTCGGGTGGGGTTTTAGTGTAGAGCAGTGTTTCGCCGTAGAACTCAACTGCGCGGCTATGAGCGAGTTTTTGAAGTGATTTTAAAGCAGCGGACTAGTTGTGTTCCACGTTCATGAGTTTATTTCTTTTTAATTAATTAAGTAATTAGTTTTAAATATATACAACAAATGTAGGGCAAAAAGTAACACTTCCAGCTTGAACAAAAATAATACCCGTATCATAAATTATTTTTAAAAAATAAAATAAGCTTTGTTATGATTTAATTACCTTAAATTAAATTTTGTTCCTTTAATTGGTTTTTTTCTATGGCTCTTTGTTATGATTTAATAGGTTGATCTAAATTCAATTGGGTAAAGTGTAATAGTGTTAAATTTTAAGTTTTATTTTTTTTTTATTAAAAATAGTTTGCTTGATAATTCAATAAGTCTGCCACGTGTAGGTTCTTTAACAACCCTTGGTGCGTTTTCTCTGTACAATTACGGATTTGATGTCTAATTGTCTAATTGTCCAGACAATGTGGCTCGCTTTTTGTAAGTAATGGGGGAGAGGACTGAAACATATCACTAGTAAGATGGGTAATAGTAATGGGGAAGAGGGCTGAAACATACTACTAGTAGGATGGGCAGTTGGTCAGATCTAGTATGGATTGTACATGTACAATAGTTGGAGTCAGCCTCTTTCACCTAGCATTATGACAAACCTATTATTTTCGTTCCAAATAATATTAAAGAATGGATGGGTAATATTAAAGAATTAACTTTAATATTAATTCTAGTATGGATGGGTAATATTAAAGAATTAACTTTTAATCTTCAAAAACTAAAAACGTTACCAAATCTGTGCTAAAAGATGTATACTGGAACCGAATAATTAATTCAAGTCATTAATACAACGTACTAATAATTAAAATTGAAATATACTCCACTACACAAGACATTTCACCTAGCATTATGACAAACCTATTATTTTCGTTCCGATGAAAAGTTTTAACTCTTTTCTCCACATTGGGAAATAGCCAGGATTTATTCTAGATATAATTATTATTATTGGAGATAAATAACTTTTGTCTAAGAACTGAATTCAGGTCAGAGAGTTTAGTTTAGAACATAAGGGTAAAATGGGGGATGCAGGAGCACCTGATGCCAGTCGAGTACTGGACGCAGCGCATGCAACTAACTCAAGAACACCACTGGAATGACATTCCCGGCGCAGCACTTTTTATTTACTATATAACGACTGACGACTACCCTACTCGGCGGCGGCAGATTTTTTGACAATTGGCCATGGACCTCCGGCCATAACTGCCTCTATTTCCGGTGTTTCTCGAGGACAATTTGACATGTTCCTGCAGCCATTGGCAGTGACTAGCTGCAAAAGCCAAACAGAAGACGTCAAATATGATTCTACGGTTAAATTAAAATTGAACTAACCAAAAACATTGCTCTGTATTGGTTTTTTTAAATGAAAAAATTAATATCCAAAACCAATCTTAACACGTCCTCAATTAACTACTAAAGTAGCTATGTTGGTCTCTTCAACCATTATTGTGGTAGTTTTTTTATTTTACACAAGAAAATTAAGCCAACGATCATTATAGTTCAAACTAACGGAACTGACTCAATAAGAACAGTTTCAGCCGGTGTCTATTACCACAAGGATGACGGAATTTGTTAATAGAAGAAGACGTGGTCATATGTCAAGATGTAATAAGCATAAGTTTGGAAGGGAATGTGTAGTGTACCACATCACTTTCAATTCGAACACCACCAAAGCCTCTAAATCTGTTCAGTGCTTTGACATTGAAAAACTTGGAAGTTTTGCTATTCTCCAGGGCCGGGTCTAGTAATGCATCAATGAAGTAGCATCCGGGTTCCACAGTAATGACCTGCAAATTAGCAAGAAAATTAAACTTTGTATTGTTTTCATTCCTAAAATGCATTATAGCAAAGATAACACTTTGAGACTCGATATTGTAATGATGTTTACATCTTCAATCACAAATGTTCTATTCACACTGGATTCTTGACTCCAGCACCAACTTGCATGATTGAAAATAAACATAAAGACATGGAATGAAAACGAGGAAAGTAAACATAAAGACAAGGAACGAAGACGAGTATTGAATTAAGTAATATAATGAAAAAATATTGATAATATCCTCTCCCATCCCTATAACCAGAAACGCTTAGAAAACAAGAAAACAACACATGACTGTAACCTTAGCCAGAATTGAAACAATATTTTGAAACCACACATAAATGATCGACTCGCTGTTGCGTGCAGCTTGCACTTTTCTGCACAGTCCATTTCTTTCCCTCTCGAAAAAGCCCAAGAACAGGACAAGGGGAAAAAGGGGCCACAATGTCTTTAATTTTAAGCTGGGGTGACTCTTTCTTTAAACTCTCTTAAATAAAGCCCTAATTTCTTTAATTATTCATACTTCCAATTTCCAAATACCATGTTCTCTTATATATTAAATCATATCTATTAATTTTAAATAATATTTTTGTATGTCTTGCTTAGCTCCAGAGGATAATTGTGCACCTCACCCTTCAAAAACACTGACACTACTAGGTAATCTAGCAAATAATTTGTTATGGTAACTTATGACTAGTAAGGAAAAACCAAAAGCTACGGCTATAACTAACCATTCCTTCTTTAAGATTACGGACTGTACGTAAAGAATTTAGCCCTGGTTCTTTAGGCCTCTCCAAACCCTGTAAAAGCATGTCAAACGTTATGAATTGAAAAAGGCTTGCAAGCCAATTGAACTTTTATTTTTCCTATTCTATATGTTCTCATTTTAACCCATTTGTCATTTTATTTTTCCTAGTTTGTAATTGTTTTGTCGTATGCACAAATGTGAAGTAGAGATAAATAACATAAAGCAAATAATCATCCACTGGAACCTGCAAGTAACCTCCAGGATCATGAGTATCGATACCAAGGAAATGTCCCAAACCATGTGGCATGAATACAGCCCCAAGATGCTCAACTATCATGTCCTTCACATCTCTACAACAAAATAACTTCTCCTTATTCAAACAGAAAGCAGACTACAAAAGATTAAATATATATATATATATACATAGGTTTGGGGTGGGGTCAGGAGGAGAATGTACCCAACAAGTACAGAACCCTCGGTCAATGACTCAAGAATAGTCTTCTCGGCTAATCTGGTATATGAAAAGAATGTGAATAAGAAAGCATTTTACCAACATTGACAAGATGTACAAGCCATAGATAAAAATATTGAGACAATAACAGTTACATGTTAGAAACACTGTCAATTAGATAACATGCAAACAAAAACACATACGCACGAAAGTAAAACAGCATTTAAACTGCAACATTTTTAAAAAAATATCCATGCATGTTTATTTACGAGCACCACAACTAATCTCATGAAACAATCACCGGACATTACAAGATTTAGTTGTAAAAAAACTCTCCAAGTCTTTTACTATCTTAAGTAGCCACCATAGGAACTCATTCCCCAAAGTCGATTTACCATCATCACACGTCATAATGACAACTAGGCCAACCCAGCAACTAAAGTATGTATCTAATCTAATGAATGAAAAAGTCAGGCTAGAGATGGCATAAAAGAAGAGGAAAGTGGGCAAACAAAGTATCGCTATTCCAAATGACAGCTTTTGTCGCATTTATAAGCTAACTGGCGACAAAAGTTTAATTACAGGGGAATTTTAACCTTTACCATGTGTAGATTATACAAGCAGATTTATGTATCTCAATTTCTCAGTAAGAAAACAATCATTTAGACCTTTTCTTCACCACCTGATGTAAATGAATTGCATATAACATCCACGGTTACACCTCAAACTATTTTGTATGCTCAAAAGAAAATCAGAGCAGGGATATCAATAAAAAGCTTACTTGTGCATTTCAACCCAGTTTATTCCCGGTTTCATAACCGATATAACAGAATCGTGAGCCTTGAGGACAGCCTGCAACACAGGGACAAAAAAAAGAGGTAACCTATCCTTGTGCCAAGGGAATAGCAGAAAAGTTGTGGATTGCATTTCAAGAGGAACATACGTTATATATCAGCGATTGATCATTTGTAAATTTACCGTTCACCTGCGACAAGGATGAACATATGTTATGGAAATTCAAAAAGATTGATATAAACTAAATGATAAATTAAAGAAAGTTTTACTTGGAAGCGCAATAAAATGCTTTACTTCGAAAAGTAGTTGCCTAATTTTTCCATGTGATTTTAAATCCTAATGAATTCATTTATATGTTATCCATTAAAATAAAATAACAGAAAACCTGTTTCAAATTTTCCTTCGACTTTTGAAAAATCCCAAACTAGTTGGATTTCACAAGATTTCAAACCAAAGAATTTCAAATCATTTCTAGTTTTTCAAATCACATAATCTAATATAATTTCTTTGACATTGATTCCTAAAAGTGTACAGCGTAGAATAATATTAACTTCACTTAAAATGAAACAGCATATAATAAATGTCACCCACTGGGAATGAACAAGTAATGTCAGATGCATAAAACTGGTATTCTGCTCCCATATCAAACAAAGCCATATCACCATCTTCCAACGTCTGCATTAGAATAAATAAAATTTCTTTTTGGAATGCTTCACAAAAGATTCAATGAGGAATTAAGGATTACTGTATTCTACTTGGAGAAATTAAGGATTACTATATTCTACTTGGAGAAATTAAGGATTACTATATTCTACTTGGACATCAACAGAATATTAACTTCAAAGGATAAAATTATTTTAATTCAACATACTCTGTCATTTGGAGCTGCCGCATGTCCATAGTGAAGAACAGCACTGCAACACAGAATACCATTCGTACATTAGCATCAATCTCACCGACATAAAAATATAGTTTTAAAAAATAAACAATTCGAATCATCCATCCACAGTCCAGAACAGCCGCTGGCTTCCCCTCCCCCAAAAGAGTAAATAAATAGGTCCATTAACAAAGTCATGCAGCCAACATCAAGTAAAGAACTAAAAGCTTAAATGATCCTACGGCATCCAGTTTGAAAAAACAGGTAGTTGTTTAGCAGACTTGCCTATTTTCTCCAGTGGCACATATACAAGTGTATGAGCAGTGCCTACATCCACCATACATGTAAGTGTGGTGAAGAAATAAGCTTTCCAATTGATATTCTTTCATGCCCGCCTTGATATTTTTCATAACCTGAAACAAAAGCATGCTTAATCTTTCACGTTATCAATTCAACCTCTCAGAACTTCCACTTGTTCTCATAAATATAAATATTAAAAATAAAAGCATAAGCTGAGCACTTCAATGAAAATACATATGTCATGAGAATTAATCATCGAAATGGCTACCTTTATCTATTAGAGATGAGCTGTTACCTGAACATGAGCTTCTGAGCTAATATCGTTGGCAAATTGAATAAGAGCAAGCTCCAGCTCCGATTTCACAACACGACATTCAGTCAAAATAGGATGCAAGGTATTCAAATCAATTTCAAACGTGTCAATACCCTGAAACGGATAAGAATTAGATGAAGAAAGTCTAAAAATGATCAGACCAAAGCTAGAAGTCTGATGCAAGTTACAACAGTAAGGGGCCCATTGATAATGCTTATCTGCTGTTTCTTGTAATCTATTATTTCAAAATTGAAAGACACCTTTTAGATGAGCCCCTTAAATACTATTATGCACCTTTGTACTCCGTGATATTTAATCAGAAATTTATAAGCTAACAATGAAAGATACAAAAATTTCTCAACTATTTTCTAAAACTGAAATAAATGATCAGGAATCCAAAAGAAAGATTTTCTTTTGCAAAAATCCGCACAGTATTAGTAGCTCCAGAAATGGTAAATAAAAAGTAGAAAACAGAGTTCAAGACATCTGTTCTCCAAAAGTATAACACAAAATAGAAGCACAACGAATGAACCTTGGAAAACCAATGGCCTTGAACTTCGGAAGACTCGTGGACCATTCCAAAATCGAGATATAGAAAATGCAGTAATTCCTCAATGATAAACTCCAACGAAACCAAATAGCTTACTTTACAATTTCAACAAATATGTAGGATAAAGCATAAAGGTGGGAATTGAACCTCAAAATTTGCGGGTACTGAAAAATTGTTGCTGTCAGTATTCAACCCACGTAAGAGAAATAGTAAAGGTTTCTCCAACTCCTGGTATTGTTCGTGCAAAATAGCTGCAATTTCATCTGTATAGTATGCCATACTGACCGCATATTTTTCCTATAAAACATATTCAGTACAATCAGCTAATAAGACAAGGCGTAATGCACCAAGTGCAGGTTATCACACACCACCTTGAAATATGACAAAGGCTTTATTTCTCCCGACCATACAGCATAATCAGAAGGCAGCTTTGGAGCGAACAGAATTGACTTTCCACTGGCAATGTCCTATACAAATTTTGTGTTACAAGACAATAACATGGATATGTGATACAGTTGTAATAGACCTACAAGGAATGACTTCATTTTCATTGAGTACATGTGTCAAAACAGCTACACAGTAATGAAACAACTATTGTGTGAAAATTTTGCAAAATAAAACAATTTAATCAAATAATTACATTTAACACACTGCAAGTATCAAGTAAAAATGTACAAACTCCAACATAAAGATTAGTATCAATATTAAACAATTAACATTAAAACGTTCAAGGGAGTAATCGGCTTACAATAGCGCCAAAGAATCCAGGCTCTATCACTCCAAACAGATAAGCAAAATAACTCTCTTGCCTGCAAATTAAACCAACCAAAAGGATCAAACGTGTCTCACGATGACTATACTGAAAAGCAAAAGGAATTTGCAAGCATATTGAGCTTCGAGTAACACTCAGATAAATTATATCATTCAGGACGGCGACGTAATATAAGTGTTAACAATTTAATGTCTATAATCATCTGTAAGTGGCGCGGCACACAATTCAATAACTAGTCCTAAAACAAGTGTGGCTCTAGACTATTTGCAACGCCGCGACGGATAGAATATCAGAGGTTAGGACATAATTTGAGATACATTGCAATATCAAAAAACTGAACTGTGCTTACAGCGAATATCAGAAACTTTAAGACTTTCATCATCAAGTACCTGAAGAGTTCAAGATGGTCCGTATCGTAGCGCGTTCGCTCATCGCCTCCCTAACAAATCGTCACAATCAAGGAAATGGAATAAGGAAAAAACTACGGAATGTTACAAACACAAAATTAGGGCATCGTGTTGTGAATTGCAGATAAGATTACCTGAAGCAACACAATGCCCTTGAGAGGACGAGCGGAATCGGCAAGGTGTTGGCGTGAGGACTTAAGCAACTTTTCTCTATTGGTGACGTAAAGCTCCACCGGCACCGGCGGAGGAGTAAGAAGCGAAGCCGAAGCCATGGAAGTGGCTTCAACAATCCGACAAATCAAAGTGGCGTCGATACCGAGGAAGCTCAATCGGCATACCGTAAGATCACCGTAAGATCACCGTAAGATCACCGTAGACAGTGAGGAAATCGGAACGATACTATTCTCTTACCCCGGGATTAAATACTCGATCCATTATCCATATTGAAGTTTGATGGAGATATTAGTGGTCTTCATCGAATTTGAGATGTTTTTTTCAGTTAACAATCATAAAAAGTTTCATCCATTATTATTTTTTATTTATTAGTATTAATATTATTATTATTATTGTGATGAAGCACTGTAAATTATCCAAATATGACCTTAACTTAACCACCCACAAATATTCAAAATATATAACAATATAATTATAATAGAAATCACTTAAAATTAATCTATATCTTTTCATTACGAGCATGGAGAAAAGTGCATGCATACGCTGGCATGGAGAAAATTGCAAGCATGCACAGACTAAAGAGCCTTGAGTACTTGGTCGCGCAGATGGAATGACACAGACCGATCATACTTCTGCAATGATCACCAAGCAAGGAAAGTTACAAGATGAAATGAAGAATGCTAAAAATCGGGGTTGCAGTTAATGGTGATATCGCTAAGATAGCACAGATGACTATGCAACCCACTTTATGAAAACGTGTCATTGATGCCCAGAGATCTGATGAACACCTAAACAAAGTGTGGAGTCAGACTGGGGCGGAAAAAAAACCAACTAGGTATTTTATCTCCTCAGACGGGGGCTTGTAGTGGCAAGACTACCTGTGTGTTCCCGAGGAAATCCTAAAAGAAATTTTAGCTGAAGCCCACAATACATCTGATACGTTCCACCTAGGATGTACGAAGTTATCTGAAGAGAGACATGGCGGGTTTCATAAGACGATGCTGCCAGCAGGTGAAGGCATCAAGATAGTGCCCAACAAGATTGCTACAACCATTAAATGGGAAGTAGTGTGTATGGGTTTTATCTCGAGTTTGCCAAAGTCTAAGCAGAGTCGTAACGTGATTTGGATAGTTGGGGTAGACCAACCAAGACAACTCACCTCATCTGGCCTCATCCCAGATGGTTAAAATACAAGTTGCAATCCCTTCAAAATCCCAAAAACAATGACGAAGAAGCCCATGCGATCGGCGAACGAGCCAATGAAACTACTAGATCATGAGGAGGAGAACAGAGATTCAGAGCAACAATCCAAAACTGTCGTGGAGAAGTCTCAATTGCAGACATTGAAATCGTTGAACAAGCACCTTTTGAAGGAGACACATGAGAGAAAGGAATTTGGAGCTCTGGTTCAGGCTAAAGAGGGTTTGGAGCTCGACTTGAAGAAGAATGCCGACAAGAAGAAACAGAGTCAAATGGATGAAGTGGGAGATAAGATTTGTAGATTAGTTGAGAGTGAGAGATTGAAGAATGTGGAGATTGAAAGATTGAAAGATTGAAAGATGAGAATAATGGGCTTGCGTTGAAAGTTGAAGAAGAAAGGGAGAAATGGATGAAGGTTTGTTATGAGACGGATGGAATTAAGGCGGATTCTAATGGATTGTTTGAGGAAATAAGAGATTTGAGAAAGAAAATGATTGAAGTGGAGAAGAATGAGAAAAGAGTTTTAGAAGAGATAGAGGACTCGAGGAGAAGTTGTCAGCTCAAAAAGTTGGAGAGTGAGATTATGAATAGGAATCTGTTGAAAGAGAAAAATTGGTTATTGAAGATTTGACGTGGCCAACTCAGATTCGAAAATGAAGGAGAAAGATGCACAGATGTTACCTCAACAGGTAGATTCAGTTGATGTGAATCTGAATCGAGTTCAACAGGAGGCAGTGAGTTTACGACGCACGATTGAGATAATCACTCGTGATAGAGCTGAAATGGAGGAAGCAAAAATGGAAGTGGAAAATGTCATGGACTTACAAAGGGAATTGAATAAACTAAACGAAGCTATGAAGTCTGAGTCAAGCGTAGCTAAGAATCAGAGAAATAAAGAGGTGGTGTTACAGATGGGATGTTCTCGAGAAAATTCAAATGAAGTCTCACCAGAGAAGGACAATTCCATTTTTTCGCTCGAACAAACAAAAGAGAAAACGAAAACATAGCAGTAAGAATAATTGAGTATGATCATCTAAGTTTATGAGAAGTTTTGCTGATGAATAAACTTAAATGTATGAGAGAGAAGAAAACGATCCCGCATAAAGAAAAAAACTTTATAAAAACTATAGAAAGGGTTTTACCTATCGTTGTAAAAGGTAGAGACAAAAGAACCCGAGAGAAAAGAACTTGTCAGAGTTAGTGTATAATACAAAAAAAACCTTTAGAGAGCTTCTTTGTCTCCATGTCTCTCTTCGACACCCTTTAAAGTTTCGTGAAAGTTATTTAACTGTTAGATTCAAAGCGAACGTTTTTTTCTCAAGTTGGTATCGGAACAGCTTTATTTTTCTACCAATTGTGTCAAACCAATTTATTTTCTAAAGTTACAACCGTAAGGGCGTTACTATTGATAATGCTTTTAACTTCCAAATTCTAATTTGATAAATTGAAAATAGAAAAACATACTGTCCAAAGGGAGTAACGAGATGTATCTGCGTCTTGTAATCTATTATTTCAAAATTGAGAGACACTTTTAGATGAGTCCCTTAAATACTATTATGCATCTTTAATACTCCGTGATATTTAATATGGACGAAAATTGTCTATCGATACTTCATAAATTATCTACCATTATAACTTCTTTATATATATATTTTTGTAAAAAAAAATTAATTTTTTTTTAATATTATCATTTACAAATATCTATAAACATTTTATATATTTTTTTGAATGAGTACCCGCTTAAAATGTTTATAGATAATTTATGAAATATCGAACAGTTTTTGTCCATATTTTAACCATAATAAAATTTTCAATTTTTTTTTTAAAAACTGTAAAAGGAGGTTAATATTACTATTAAAATTTTATGTTTTTTTTTACACAGTAAAAGTATATTTTTATTAATTTAATATAAATGAGAGAATTTTATCCTAAAAATAAAAATAAATAATAATAAAAAGTCTTTGGTAGGTCAACTACCCTTTTTATTAATTACTTCCTATCCTTATGCTTTTGTTTTCACTTATCTTTCTAATTTTTACCGACACTTTTATTTTAATTATAAAAAAAATAAATATTTATTTAATATTTTATCATTTGAAAAAACATTTAATTTAATAAAAAGTAATTTATTAATTATTTGGTTATAATAAAATATTTGGACAACCAACGTATACAAATTAGCCAATCTTTTTTGAGTGACCTAATTTTATTTTAAGTGGTTATTTTTAATATATATTAAATTAAAACGCTATTATAAAAAAATAGTAATAAATTAAATTAAAACTTATTTTTAATTACAATTTACCTCAAATTTTCAATATTTGATACTTTTAACCTTAATTTTCTTGTCGTGAGTTTTTGATATATCAAAGTCGAGTTTTCGGTGTGAATTTCCGACATAACAATTTCAGAGAGTCCAACTCCGATATTTTCCTTATTATTAGCCATTGATTTCAAGAATAGGAGAGTAATAAGAGAAGGAGAGGTGAAATTTGAATAGAAAATTGTAACCAGCTCCTCTGTAAAAAATGTAGTCGTGAGCGTGTCAAGATCACGACGCCGCACAGTAAAAAATGTAGGACCATGGCACTAAGCGAGCTGGAACATACAAACACGCCAATCTTGATCTTTTCATTTCCATATCAAATTATGTTTTCATGTTTCGTTTCTGCCTACAAACTGTTGGATGAAATGACTATGAAGCACTATAATGCCATCCACTGCCATTTGATATAGGAATTTGACCACTATAGATGATGACATTAATGTCTGATTGCTGTTTGCCCAAAAACAAAAATACTTACATCTTTTAAGGTGTTTAATGGTGTTAAAGATATTTGGAAAAGGAATTTCAGCCGCCCGTTAAGGGGTTGATGGTAGGGTTATAAGTAAGGATTACTATCTCTGTTGAAGAATCGTGATTTCTAAATGATATCAAAGTCATGCCCTTAACTTAGTCATATAAACTTAATCCTCAAACGTTGCTGCTTGATATTAACAATCTTGATACAGTCTTGGTAGTAGCAATGGCAGGAGTGATATGTTTTGTACCCAATTTGTTCTCCAGGCAACCCAACCAGCCTGGCTTGCAACAGAGGTTATGAGCCTATGCATTGGAACTCATGAAAAAGTGGTTTTGTATTTAGTTTTTGCATTTTCTTATGGACCAGAGATAGGCCTTCGTACCTTCAACCAACCTCATGATTGATTGATTGTTTTATTTGCTTTTCATTCTTATAAAGTGTCGCATGTAAAAACACGACAGCACAACGAATGATAGAGAGAAAAGTGTTGTTTTCTTCTTTCCTTCGCATTATTCTATCTTATTCTGTTTTTAGCCATTGAAATTCATGACAATTAATGAGCGTAACTTAATCACTCCTACCTTCTTTCACTCCTTAACAAGGTAAATGAGAAGAAGGTAAAGCATATGAACCTATTTATTCTTTTACTTTAAACAAAGACGACAAGATCTTTCGGTCTGCGTGCGTAGGAGTAGTTCAAACAAAAAAGAGTTTGGTCTGAATTCAGGTTCGGCCTGTCCGTCTGCTGTTAGGTCCGGGAATGGCGCTAGGCAAGGGTGCCGCTATGCCTCTCAAGTGTGCTTCATTAAACCCAAAGTAAGAGTATCTATTTTTTATATTTGAGTGCTTAATTAAACCGAAATTGGCGAGTAAGAGTACTAGTAAAAGTCACTCCTAACAAATATTCTATTATTTTTTAGATTTTCTTTCAAAATTTTTAAAATGAATGGTTTAGTAGAGTTATTATATCTTGACTAGAGTTCACTATTAACCGATATTGTCTTTTTTTAATATATTTTGCTTCGAAATTTGAAAAACAGTGTCTATTAGTGAGAGATTTCCGTACCCTTATAAACAATGTTTGGTTCTCCTCCCCAACTACGGTGAGATCTCACGCAAATATACTTCTTTAAACTTTAATTTAAAAAAAAAAGAAAAAAAAACTTTCATATTATGTCTTCACGAGAGTTCCTCATCCTCTCCATGAAAGAAAGTATTCTCTTGAGAGCAATCTGTAGGGT